ACAAAAAGTTTTAAGTTAATAGTTCTCCTAATTTTATTTTTAATTCAGTTAAGTTAAAATTGATTTGGAAACTTACAACTAACTTTTTTTTTTTTATGTACATTAATAGCCAGTTTTCTGGTTTTAGACCTCTGGTTTTGGTAGCATCATCAATAATAATAATTTTTACTATATTTATTATTTTATATTTTATAAACAAACTACGCAACTAGGACTTGATTAAAAGAAACTCATTATTTAATAAATGTTTAGCAATACAAATCAGTTAAGTTAAAAATGTTAAGATGTTGAAAATTATATTAAAAAAACTAAAAATCTGGTATGTGGAGGTCGCTCTGCTGTATATTAGGTTACTAGTGGGTCACTGTAACGGATGGTGTTAAGTTTGAATTCAACGTTAAAAAATCATTGTATAAGAAAAACAATTCTGAGCGAAGACGGTCTGTCAGTCTATAATATAACTTAATAATTTAGTATATTCGATGATATTATTGTGATTAAAGTAATTTATTTTACTAGTAAGTATTAGTACTACGCAGTAGATTAAATTCATTGAAAAAAAAGTACATTTGAAAAGTTATTGTGGGTATAAAATATAATAATATACTTCAAAAGTTTCAAGTACCCATGAATAATATTTTTAATTTACAACAAAATAACATAAACCATTACTCTTGGCAATTTAATCTTTAATTTAGTTCACATTTGAACATAAAAAATATGTGATAGTATTTTTTTGATTTTTTAATAACAGAATAACCTATTTATTTGAAACTTTCTTTTGAATTTTCAACCCTAACCTACAAAAGTTAAATATTTCAAACATTTTAAATTATTAAATTATTTGTACATTTTAAATTTTTAAATGATGTGAATTTTATTAAAATTTAAACTTTAAATGCTCATTGCAAAAATCATGCTTATGTATTTTAAATATTTTTTAACTAATATTGTAAATATCTGTGAGGAGAATTTTATTGAATTGTCAAGCTTTTTTCCCCAACAAATACAATTTTATTAACAATTATAGAAAAAAAAACTAAATAAACTAAAAAAATTCAAAATTCAAATTGTTTGTAAACAGCTCAAAACGAGTCAAAATAATTTGAAAATTGTATGAAGTATATGAATTGAAAATATAAACAAATAGTGTGAATTTTAAATATCTGTAATTATTGGTTTTTCTGTCATAAAAAATAAGTAAAAATTACTATATGAGAAATGGAGTGAATGTTGTCAAAATTTCAACTTCAAATGCTTATACAAATTTAATTTGAGTTTCCGGTAGAATTTTTTTTTTTTTGATAAAGGTAGACAAACTTATAAATAATCAAAGTTTTAAAAACTTGTCCTGTAACTGCTAACTTTGGATTTAAAAAAATTATAAGTTATAAATTAAAATTGTGTCTTATGAGTAATCACTTATAGCGGGTATTTCTAAATTAAACCTTATAATGAATGTCTATTTCAAGTACTTAAAAAAAAGCTATAATTATAAAATTACCCTACGATCAGGGAGCAGAAAAACGATGACGACGAGCAGCGTTTGTATATTACTATTGATCCCTCGTATTTTATGCATTTTCTCTCAGAAATAAAATATGTGTGTACTTGGGGTAGCATATTTTTCATGAAATTAATTTGTTATTTAAAAAATAAATTTAAGCACCAAAAAAGTATGAAACCAAAATTAATTACTTTAAACATCGACGCTTTCGGGCTTCGGCGGAATTTCTGATATTGTGTATGCACTGCGGAATAAATCAGATATACGGCTGAACTTAAGTCTGAAAATATTGAGATTTATTATGAAAAAAAAACCGTACGGGTCGCTTCATGTTTCTTGTTCGTGTCTGCAGCTTTGCTAACTGAAATTTTAGATCGTTTGCGTCTTTGCAACTACTTCGACAATCGCCACGGATTGCATTATAATTTATACTACGTCAATATGATAAAACCATAGGTGATAGGTATATAGTATATTACAAAATTGTATATCAAGGAGGTCTGTGTTTGAGATTTGATCATTAAGATAATGAAATGAGGTATAACAATAACCAAAATAGTTTATAATTTTAAAATTTAAATTACAACAATATTTAAAGTACATATCATTTTAATAATAAATAAAGGCGGTATTTAAATATTCGAAGCACAAGCATATTTATTTATGAGTTATTAAATATTTAAATACAAATCTTGTTGTAAATAAATGTGATTACACTTTTTAGATTTAACATAAAGGTATTCAGTACCTAACGCATCACATTTACCGTATGCCGACTATACCAACTATATATAGTTTGTAAAATTCAAAAATTTCAAATTTAATTTAAATCTTTTCTCTGAAAACTGTCGAGCATGAAATTAATAATTAATATTTTATGTATTCATTTTGAGTGCATTAGTTGTTTATATTTTAAGCTATTCAAGAATATTTAAAATTTAAAATTTCCTTATTTAATTTCCTATAGATATTCAATAATCAGCTGAGCGACTAACCCAGCTTTATAAAATAATTTGATGTCTGTTTTTTAGATACAACTATAATATAATGTAATCTTAATATATAATAGGAAAATGAAATATATATAACACTAAATTAATAGTGTCCTGTAACTGCTAACTTTGGATTTAAAAAAAATTATAGGTTATAAAATAAAATTGTGTCTTATGGGTAATCACTTATAACGGGTATTTCTAAATTAAACCTTATAATGAATGTCTATTTAAAGTACTTAAAAATAGGTTATAATTATAAAATTACCCTACCATCAGGGAGCAGAAAAACAACAACGACGACCCGCGTTTGTACATTATTTTATCTCTCGTATTTTATGAATTTGCTCTCAGAAATAAAATATGTGTGTACTTGGGGTAGCATATTTTTCATGAAATGAGGTATAACAATAACCAAAATAGTTTATAATTTTTAAAATTTAAATTACTACAATATATAAAGTACCTATTATTTTTATTTTTAATTTAATAATTAATAAAGGTGGTGTTTAAATATTCGAAGCACAAGCATATTTTTTTATGAGTTATTAAATAAAAATCATATTGTAAATAAATGAGATAACTACTTTTTAGATTTAACATAAAGGTATTCAGTGCCCAATGCATCACATTTACTGTACACCGACTATACCAACTATAGTTTGTAAAATTCCAAATTAAATCTTTTCTCTGAATACTGTCGAGCACGAAATTAATAATTAATATTTTTTGTACTAATTTTGAGTGCATTGGTTAGGTACATTTTAAGCTATTCGAGATTATTTAAAATTTAAAATATCCTTATTTAATTTCCGATAGATATTCAATAATCAGCAGAGCGACTTTCCCAGCTTTATAAAATAATTTTATGTTTGATGTACGACGGCGTGACTTTAATTCGCGGTTCGACCACAAGCAGACGGCATAGTAATATTCATATATTACTCAACATTTGTATAAACTAAAAATGAAAATTGTTGAATTTTGCGGGACATAAGAACTCCCGTGTACTGTACTAGTGTAGTATGACTAGTATGTACAACACCATTTATATCTATTTAATTGTATAAATATGTTATTATTCTGCGACCTGGATATTCCGTCGTCGTTTGTGCTATAAGCGTATTTATTTGTGTAGCGAGATCGGGAACAAAAAATATGCCCCTACTTTACCAGGGTTGCAAATTATCTATGATAATAAATTTTAATTTTGAGACTAAAAAGTAAAATATGTAAGCCCCAAAAGAATAGGTAATCAAACTTACGTATACTCTTCGTATATCGACTGTTCGGGGAATATGTAGCTGCAAGGACATATCTTGAGTGTAGACGCCATATCGAGGAACTTCTTTCTTCATCTAAACCCGAACTGAAAAAATCGAGATTTTTTTATAAAAATTACTTGAGTAAAATGAAATATGTAAGCAAATGTTTATTGTTGCCTTACACATTTCTCTTTTGTTCAATGAAATTATTAAAATTGTGAATCGTCTCCGACGAGTGACGACGATCGGCTTTTGCCATAGATCAGCGGTTCCCAACCCATGGGCCGCGAGCCATAGGTATAATATTAAATATTTTATATATTTAAAATAATATTATTATACATTTTTTGTTATATTTCTGATCATAATAAAATTTAATCAATTTTAAGTATAGTGTAGGTATAGTCATAGTGTATGGCATAGATGATAGATATAATATAATATGTTGTTATCAGTTTTCGAGTTTTTGAATTCTTTGGATGACACGATACATTTTTTATTTCAGATTCCGAAACATAATATTATTCGGAGTGTTTAAATCTAAACAATTCAGAACATGGAACTCTGCATATAGGCCATTTGGATACACTACTGTCGTGAGTCCAGTTTTTTGTCCTGCATCTCACAATATTGTTTTTAGTCTTAACGGTTAAACTATAACTTAATATAAAACTCTAGAAGTGCTGAGACATGAAAAAAATTCAAAATTAGGCTTTGAAATGTACAGAAGTAATAAAAAAATGGATACTTTAATCGTGAATATAATATTCTCTCTGGGCTCAGCATTAATATGTTATCAAACAATATTATTCTATAATAGTATGCAGTATTTGCTAAAAAATTGTGTGATTATATTTTACTACTGCAGCATAGTGTTATAAATAATATAATATATATACAGCCGTGTAGGTACCTAACTGATATTCTCACATAAAGGTAAGTGACGGGGAAAAAACCGTATAACCAAGGTTCAGGACTTATAGCATTTGCATACTTTTTTTATTTATTGTAAAATGTAGCAGAGTGCGAAATAAATGCATACCAAATCTAAAATTTGAATGAGCATATTTTGCATAGTTCATACATTTTGCCGGAAATCGCTCATTTGTACGTTATTGTGCTTAATTTGCATATTTTGGAAAATTTTTCGACATTTCAACTTCACAAATTTCACACCATCTAAAAAAGAAAATAGTAATGCAGCTTACTCGCAGTCTTATGTACCTATTTGCTATATACAACTCACAACTCCTTATAATTTTCGTGTTTTGAAAGTGTGCCATCCGCTGTTGAAAAACGACTGTGTTTCAACTGTGCGTCTGTGCTACGTCGAAAACTATACCAAGTCCAGCAATAATTTTAAAATCATCATTCAGCAATCTCAATGATATGGAGTTTAGTTTGAAAGAATACAGTGAAGTAAAAAAACTAAATGCACAGAACTAAACTGTTTGGGATTTTTAAATGTAACGAGAATTCTAGTAAATCTTTCATTTATTGAAACAGATTAAATTAATGAATATCATGAGTACTCATTGGCTGACTTGCAGTGTAGTCTGGCAATTGACAATAACTGGTATTGTATATAATTCTTTCAAAATAATATATTATTTAATTAATTGTTTTAAATAATTTTTAGATATATATTACCCAGTGAAATAGTGGTGGAACCGATGTTGGAATTTCTAAAGACAAGAACTCAACCAAAAAAAATTAATATGGATACACCTGAACTTTCTTTTTTTAAGTATTATTTAAAGTATTTAAAATTAAATGATAAAAATCAACGTCAATTCAAAAAAATTGTATTAAATACCATTAATCAACTTCTCGACATCCAAGAAACGTCGTATGAAACGCCAAGATACAATAAATGAAAATGTATAAAAAGTTGGACAAGTGGCGGTCGTACCGCTCTGCTGTTCAGTAGTTGTCAAGCATGTCGTTGTAATGGATATGTTAAATATGTTGAATTTTTTTTTTTTTAAAGCACATCATTGTATAATCAATACATTATTTCACTATGCTCCGCTCAGAATCTAATATCTAATTATTTAGAATTTGTTATTAACTTACCTCAATGTCACCAATAATTTCTCTTCTGGAGTGATACTTTTTCTGAAATTAGTATCAGGTTTTCGAATTCCATCGTTAAGTATTTCTAGAATATTATCAAACGTGTCAGTACTCATTCGTGTAAAATTTCTAAATTTACATTCGTAATTTCGAAGTTCATGAATAAAACATTTAATTGTATTATTTTCAGTTCGTTTCAAGTTCACAGGATAAACCCAAAGTTTTTTTTCTTCTTCCTGTTCAATTTCTCTTAAAAGAAACCATAAAATAGGAATAGCAACGTCCTCCTCGTCGGACGACATTTTGACGACTACTTGATATACTTTGATTTGACTAACTATGTCTATATTTTATCTAGTGAGCGATAACAATGCTTTATTATGACTAAAGCAAAATGACTAGACTTACATTTCTTCAATCAATTTTGCTTTACGAGTGTGCGGTCACCCTTATACACAAAGAAATATCGATAGCAATTCTTGGAACCATGATCCATTTCCATGTATCCTAGGATCCTAGGTGCCTTAACAACAAAAATGTCCAATAAAATTCCCTTCAATATAGTGAAAAACATTAGTAAAAAGACAAAAATTAATGTAGATAAAACACCCCCCTCCCTCCCCTCCAATCAAATACATTTTTAGTAAAAGATTAATAAACACTATAGGTAGTTGCATCAGAAGATCAGACATAGTTTGTCATTATATACGAGATACCTTCCAAAAATCTTCACATTAATTATCTCCCACGTAGCACGTAGAATTAAATACCTAATGGTTCATAAGCTCCATGTAAATAGATTAATTTAAGTAAAGACGTTACAAATTATATGTTGTGGAGTATAACTTGTAACTGTTGTGTTATAATGTATACTATAAAAAATGAGGTTTGGACGCAGTAACAAATATTTAATATAATATCTACATAGATATTTATATATTTTGCTAAGCTACTAAAGTTTAGAAATTAGAAAGAATTTCATACTAAAATTATTGATATAATAATGCATTTGTTCAATACATTTTCTTGGATAGATATTTAGAATTAGGTATACATGTGTACAGTTAAAAAAAATATTAATCTTAGGTACCCACATAATATAACTAATATTCATTTTTATAAATAATAATAAAATTAGTCAATTAAAAAAAAAAACATTTGATTGTACCCATACAATTTAAATTATAAATCTATATAGATCTTCTTCTATAGTAGGTGAGCAGATTAAGTGCTAGACGTTGCTACCAGGTAACATCTTTCAATTTTTAAAATATTTTGTTATTGTATTACAGTCACTTTATAAGGTGTTACCACACCCTCCCTAATCTCATGATTCATGTTAACTTCTTTTATTTTATCACTTATCAAATCTACTTATTGTACACAAATGTATAGACTGTAGAATTATTTCAATAAATAAAAAATATATATATACACATAATTACATAGTTTTTTATTATAATATTCTTATTACCTATATAAATTATTTAAATCGTTTAGAAACCGCTTAAACATAGTGTATTACCTGTCTATTGGGAGGCGGCTAGTTCTAGATCATTTTAGTAAGGTATGTAACTCGTTTCAACCATATGCCAAATTAAAATATGGACTAGGAATTAGGATAATATATGATCGATAGTTACTAATCTTCCAATTCTACAGACTGAGAGTGATATTGTTCATAATCTTCATTAGGACAGATACCTCTACATATTACATTCTACCCGTGAAGCTCAAATATCCTCTGTAACAACAGTTTATTTGTAATTTATTGGTAAGTGTTAAAACTTAAAACATTGTACATATTTTAATTTTAGTAAAACATCTTCTATTGGTTAATATATTAATATATTTTATTTTATTTAGTTATAAGTTACAGGTAAAAAAAAATGTCTTACATAGTTTTAAATTTTTAAATCATAACAAATTAAATATTTAAGATTACAAAACATTAAAAACTTAAAGTTACTATTTATACTACATACATTATCACAGTAGTAGTATTGTCAGTATTACTTAAATAGTCTTAGCTAAATCAGAATTTTCCAATGGACAAACATCAAGGATGCAAAACAATTGACGACAAAGTGGACATGTACATTTTGAAGACAACCATATGGTTGTGTCGTTTTGAGGTTGCCTTGATTCATACCTAAGATCAATATTTATTTTTATTTTTATAAAAAACAACATTGTTGATTTTTCTTACCATTTAGCCATGCAATCAACACACCACATAGGTTTGCATCGGCATGAAGTACAATTTACTATGTCATTGCTATCTTCACAACATTTGGTAAGCTTAACATCTGGAGGATTCACCAGACAACCAGCGCATACATCATCTTCTAACTAAAAATAATATTAATGTAACAAAAAATCTTATTCAATTTTAATATATTGTATTAAACACCAAATAGAAAAACTACTAACATTTACAATTTATTATTAGTCAAATATAATTATTTTAATCACTAAAAAAGATTTCCAAAAATAGTCTACAAACTTTTCTACATAACGATTAATTAATTTAAATTTTTTTTTAATTTTACAAACATAACATTTTTAAAAAAAATTGTACCTAAGTACTAATAATGTGGTTATTGAAACATCATAAATTAAAAACTGAAAACTAAATATTCAAACTTTGGCAAAATATTTTATACTTATGTATTAATTTTCATATTTAACATTTTCTTATGCATTATATTTTGTAGCAAGAGATAGGTTATTAAAATCAAATATTTAAAATATAATGCATAATTTGGTTATTCAGGATTTAAGTTTTGGATAAAAGTTTAGTAAATGTGTAGGTTAGTAATAGAGTATATGAACAAAATGTCATCTAGTATAATTTATTGAACATACTTCAGCTGAACTGTAACCATTATATACTGGATTTTGGGAAACTTGATCACGAAATACTTCAATGAAACGTTCAGTTCTTGAGCGCTGTAACTTGACATTATCTGCAATCTGTATAGGATGACCAATATGTTCTTCTAGTGTCTTAAAGTCTTCAGACCTTATTCTATTCAAAGAATATGAATTTTAACAACAGACATTAAGATCAATTAATCATTTGACTTACCTAACAATAAACCATTTAATTTGAGAACGAATTGGTATAACTTGGATGTTGATGAACTGTATACTACCTGGAGTGCCATCAGGCGTAGAGTCATGGTTATCTGAACTGTAAACTAAGAAAGAACTTTCTGATTTCTTGGAAACATAAACCATATAAGGTTTTATCGATATTATCCAGTTTTCAGTAACAACTGTTCTATTTGTTGTACCATACGCCAACGTCAATTTTTGAAGACTTCAACACAAATATAAATCACAAAAAGTATATTATTTAAAAAACATACAAAATACATTATAGGGTGGCACATAAAAGGGATTGAATATATCTGAAATATATATATATAAATTCATATAGTATAGAATATAGTTAAGCATACCATTGATATTCGGTTGAAATATTTTGAGCTATAAGTGTCCAATCAACAGAATTGTAACGATTCAAAATAATTGATAATGGATGATTGGCCCAATTATTAGATTTCCATTTGGATACTACTGAATAGCTGTAGAAGATGGGTAACAATGCCAAAAAAATCAACTCATAAAAGTAAACACTCACAAATGCTTTTTCATTGTCATTGACTAGAAGTGTGCCAAGTAAATAAACTGAAAACACAATCATTTAAATGAAAAATTATACACATATTTAAGATTATGCTTTTTTATAATGTATTAGATAAAATATAACTTAAGTGTTATACACCAACCGAATGGCAGGCCCGAATGTACAATGATGCTGTATGATGTTCGCTTGATGTGATGTAATATGAAATTGTTATACTCTTTGTCAATCACTGTGTCGAACAGACTCTCAACGGTTAGACCATTGGACACAAACTCGGTAGTTCTGAGCATAAAACAAGCCGAAACGATCATGAAGAACAGAGTGTAGACCAACAAGGACGTGTATTCAAACATCTTGGCAAAAACTGACAAAGGATGATTTACACTAAGAGAGAAGAGACTTATCGAATGGTTAACGCAAAACACAGCATGATTATTCGATCATCGGTAGACAGACTAGAATAACATTTATAGTGATACGAAATTTTGAACAATAGAACTATATCACTCAAAACTCACGTCGAATGTTGAAGGTTTATAATGTAAATTTATTGTAATATTTTGTAAAATATACTAAAATCAAATATTAAATTCAGTAAACATCCCACCACCATATGGCAATAAGGCATAGATATTAGATATCCACCATACAAAAACAAAAAAGACTAAAAGATACCCACGTCAGTCGTCAACTCAAATAAGCTGGAGATAACGTTGTGATTGTGATAAAAATATGTATGATGCCAATAATTATGTAAAATCTATAAATGATATCACAGAATAAATGAAACGATTAAAGCAGAAATCCTAAAATTAATGCGAACTAAAAATAATAGAATGAGCGAGAATATCGTTACTGCAAAATGCAGTTTAATATATTATATTTAATAATTAAGAATAAAAAATATAAAAATAAAATACAGGGTTGAGTAGGATCATTTAAATCATATGCATACATTTCTAGATACCTACTCGACACTGAATAATTTCATTACATTTTGCTAGAAGTTATTAATTATTAGTTATTACGATGTAATGATAAATACAATTCCAAACTAATTCAAGTATAAGTTTTTAAATCATCACCATGATTCCAATAAGCCTAGTTCATAGTTTTGTGATTAATTAAGATTAAAACTAAAAATTTGCTCTTCACAACTCTATGTGTACCTATTATAATTTCAAAATCAAACAGAAGTATGCTGTATACGTCAACAGTAAGTTAAAAATATTATGTTGTGACGTTATGCAAAGTTTTTAAAATGACCGCTAATACATAATGTTGATCAGGTGTGGGTTGTGGGAGATTATAGAAGATGATGACTGAGATTCTAAATGCCAAAGTGAGAGTTCTCGTTTTCTTGCACTGGCTGCACTGTAACTGAAC